TCATCACCAAAAAGGATTTGGCCAACCAGTTGTTTCCCTTTTATCTTCATCTTCAGTGTTACAGTGGGGTTTGCATTATCCTCATGGCATGTGACACTAAAAAGGCACCATTAAGCAATGGCTCCCTGACATCCCTGACAAAGAGAGTGACAGTATGTTCATAAACACAGTTGTGTTTTTTTAAACAAACTCTTTTGTGTATAAGCAGTTGCTCAACATTAAATAAGGCAATGAACCTACCTTCTGTATTTTAGTTAGACATACCAAACAATCCTAAACATGCATTATTTCCCCTCTGATCTTTAAAAAGATAATTTCTTTGCCTTAAGTACAAAAAAAAGAAAACAAAAGAAATTGTTGCTGCAATTTCTAATCTGTTAAACAAAAAGTAAACAACTAATAGCAATGTTTTTTCTTTGTTTCTTTTGATGTTTTTTTTCTTTACTAGCACTTCAGGTTTTCTTGTCTTTATTTTCTCTCACTTATTATTTTCTTCCAGGTTTCTTTTCTCCTTTTATCTGTCTTTCATAATATGTCAACAGAAAATCATCACTATTAATTTGCAACAAGGATACAATCTGGAGCAAAGCCAGATTCAAAGGCTCACTCTGAACTAGTTCTCTGAATTTTATTCTGAACACAACTCTAAGGGTCAAGTCTGCTTATTTTATGGGACATGTTTTATAATGCCAGTTGGAGGAGTAAACAGTCATATGTATGTGCTTGCAATTACTCAATAGACCAATGAAGTTAAATTGTTACTGGAGCCACTGAAATAATTCTGCTGATATGCATGTTCTCAGAAAGCTGCTACTGCTTTGACTTATTTCTCTGAAGGTGGCCCAGATGAGCTTACAGGTATGAGGTCAAACTATTCCCTCATTTACACCAACTCTACTAAAACCAGTGGAGTTTTACAGTGAGGGGGCAGGGTTTTTCAATTCCAATTTCTGGCTGGGTTAATTGGGTCATAAACATGGGTTGCAAGACCTGGTTGGCATCACTAGTGCACTCAGCCACATGCAGAAAATATCCTCCTGGTCGAATAACTGTTTAGTTTCTCCTGCTGTGTCACCTGGAATCATTGGCTTTGACTTTGTTGTCTTAGCCAGTACTCTGTTCCCAGATGAGGCAAGTTGAGGGCTGCGGCCGTACTATTTCTTTCAGCTTTGTCATTTTCATATTGAAAATGATGACAAATTTAGGCTTCCATTGAGATTAAGGTGAAGATTTCCCAAAAAGGGGGCTATGGGCTACAATTAACAGAAATGGGTATATTTGATTGAAAAATACTACATCAATTGTCACCAAAGAATGAAATGAATGATTCCAGGCAGTGGGCTTTAGGGTGCTGTAGTTCTGTTACAAGGATGAAAGCACTTGTAGGTGCTTTTACTCCAGATTTGAGAACAAAAGACATTTAAATGAACTGCATGAAATTGTGACAATAATACTGTTGAATTTACATTTTTCAAGAATTTTAAAAAGGAAAACAAATGAATCCAATTGGGATACAGTGCTGTCTGGAAAGACATTTGAATACAATGTCTTTGCTCTCTATTCATCCCTCTTATTGTTCATGGAGTGACACTTCCGGAGATTTAGGCCCATGTGCATTACAGGGGATCGCTGTATTGTAGCTGCATCTTCTGACTTGTTAGTTGGAACTGTAGTATATAAAAAGGCCTTTATTATCAGAAAAGTGTTATATAGGCTACTTTTGTGGAAGTGAGCAATCTTAAATATAGAATCATAGACTACTGGACCTGGAAGGGATCTCAAGAGGGCATCAAAGTCCGGTTTCCTCCCCTCACAGCAAGACCGAGGACCATCAAGATCATCCCTGACAGATGTTTATCTAATCTGCTCTTAAATATTGATATAGATAGTCTATATTTATATAGACTATCTATTGTATACCTGCCTTGGCTATTTTAGTTCAATGACTAAAAATTCTAATCACACTGATCAACAAAACCATAGAGCAATGCTTGGTTGAAGATTGTATAGTTCATAGACATTAGAACCAAAAATGACCTGCTGGGCCAAGTAGTGCAGTGATGACCAAACTGTGACTTATGAAGCCCCACCTGGTGTTCTACAGACAGCTATATTTTTAAGAGCTAAGAACTAGACGGTTGGGAAGAGGACATGGGAGGCCAAGTCAATTGCCTGCGGAAGGAAGCCATTGGAAAGCCACCACCTCTCTGACAACATTGGGTTTGCTAGAATTCTGTGAAGTTCAGTTCATCCCAGAGGGGACAAGGCTATTAGAACAAAATGAATGTTCCAGGTTATTTTCAAAGTGCGGTTTGCCACTTGGTAATTGTGAAACTACAGCACTCCTGTGATTGTGATTGTGATTGCAGGTGTCTGTGGTGCGTTGTGTAGCCCATGTCTAGAATGCAACCTTGCAAGGCACTACGGGGAGTGCCCATGTTTCCCACTGCTGCCAGGTTCCTCGTTAGCGTTGAGAGTGGGTGCCAGAGAGAAATACAAGATACGAGTAAGTCTTTGTGTGTGTGTTTGGGGGAGGGGAGGTTGTTTTTACAGCTTACATAATGCTAAGAGGCATGTTCCTCCTGTGCCCAAAAGAAACTGCAGCACAAGCTTAATATCTGTAGACATGGGCAGATGGGATTAGTGTGCTAGGGTGTGCCACTGAATATTGATAATGTAGAAATTATTATGCAAATGTAAAAGTTCATTTGGGGTCTGATCCTGAGAACAGAGATCTCAGCACCTCACTGGCCTTCCTCCTTTATTTTCAGCTAAGGTCTGAACAGGGTCCTTTTGCCAAACTCCATTGTGATCTTAGAATCTGTTTTTCAGATGCCTTAATGCATTTTTAAAGCAGAACTAATGCATTAAACCTCAAGAATGCCCTTTCTCTTTGCACGGAGGCAAAGGCAGCATTTGATTTATAATAGAATGCCAACTCCAAGCAACTACTCATGTTTTTTAAAGTACTTTGGAAGAACAGAACTGTGGGGGATGGTGGGTGGGGATTGTTTTTGTTGCAGTGAATTTACATAGCCAGAGCTGATGCTTTAAAATATTCATTGCTATGCAATCAGGATGACAGGAGCAAAGAGCATTGTTCACACCAGTGGAAAGACACTATAAAGGCCTGATAAGGGACTGAGTATGCTCAAATCTCATTGGCTTTAATGGGAGTCATGGGCACTCAGCCCCTTGCAAGATCAGAGCCTAAGGTTATGTCCCTACTGCCATGAGGGCATGTAACTGTGACTTGTGTCGATATATCCAGGTTAGCTTTAATCTACCGAGGGTGGGTACTGACAACAGCAGCAGGGACGGGGGGCAGACAGCCCTCAGTGAAGCCCGGACTGTGGTGCTCTCCTCCTCCCCCAGCCTTTAGAGCCGTGTGGTGTGGCGCTCTGACAGCGATTCAAAGGACCAGGGCTTCAGCCACTGCTATTGTTACTGCAGCAGCGGCTCTTTAATTCACTGGGACCTGGAGCAACTGCCCCCTGCCCATTCCCGCCTGTCAGTGGGCCTGGTCAGTAGGGAAGCTACGGGCTGTACAAACCTGCTCAGGACCCTCAGCAGTCATCTGGGCAGCTGGCCTGCGCTGAAGACTCCACTGCCACGGCTTCACTACTATCCACTTCCTGAGCTAGCTAGATTAGTGGTAGCTTGGGTTTGCCTACACTGACCACCCTGCTTGGACTGTAGACAAAGCCCAAGTCTTCTGTGGGCCAGTAGATTAGATGAGATCCTGTTAGATACTGGACTCAAATCAGTTCTCATTTACTCAATGTAAACCCAGAGTAATTTGTTGATTTAGATCTGAATCAGGCCCTAGAACTCATACTCTCTACAGGGTGATCAGAAATACATAGGGAGGCAGAAAAGCTGCTTCACAATCATTTCATTTGTGAGAAATAATTTCCTGCCTTCCCCAGGGAACCCTGTGTGACGACTGGATGGCAGTTAATTGCTGCTGGCCTTTTGCTGTTTGCCAAGTGGCCCGAGAGCTGAAGAGGAGGGCTACAACCCCAATCTATGAAATAAATACTGCTCCTACTGCTAGAGATACCTCCATTTAAAAGTTTCCAGCCAGAAAGCTTGACTCGTGACACTTCCTTTTCCTGCCAATGTAAAATGCCCTATTTTTAGAAATAGAATGTGTTTGTGTCTTACAGCAAGGGCTCTCTAACACTCCTGTGAGGTTGTATATGTCAAACCCTGATATAGCACCCAATCACCTCAGCTGTCAGTTTCTACAGTGCAGCCATGTTAATGTGGTTCAGTGATTTAGGGCTTGCGTTGTAGTCTGGCACTGCGGATGACCCCTGTCGCTCTGGGCACAGGGATCTGAAATTGTAACGTAAAGCATTTTGCATGCAATTCCTTAGAAAAGCAGTAGTGAAAAAATCACTGCAACTGAAAAAGTGATAGGGAATTAAGAACAAATTTAAGGGAGGAAGCAGAGTGCTGTGGTCAAGGTACAAAACTGGAAGTAAAAAGAAATGGATTTTTTCTCCAGCAACTCACATGTGACACCCAGGCGGTAACTTAATTCCTCTAACTCGATTTCCTAAACATGAGACTCATAACACTCAGCCTCCTTTGAAAAGCACTTTGAGATCCTTGGAGGAAAACTCTCTGGGGCTATGTGTACACTACACACCTTTTTCCGATTTTTTTTTGGAAGAGGCTTTTCCGAAATTTGGCCTGTCTACACTGGGCCAAATTTCGGAAAAACCTCCTCTTTCAGAAGAGCCCTTCTTCCTCATGAAACGAGGTTTACAGGGCTTCAGAAAGAGCGCATCTGCTCTTCTGCACAGAGTTTTTCTGGGATACTGGAGGTAGAGTAGACATAGCCTGGTAGTACTAAGGATATGAATATAATCCTTTGCCGATTATTGCAGTTTGGCTAGAGGCAAAGAATAGAGATGGATATACTTCTAAGCAGGTGCCAAAATGGCATTGGGCTGAGGGAGACAGTCATAGTGCTCCTAACTAGAGTCCCAAACTGAAACCACAGTTCCTAAGTAGCTTGGAAAAAGATGGCCAAACTTGGAGTACCTTTGCAAAGTCCCCTGAAAAAGGAATTCACTTGTACAAAAGTAATTCCCCTGTACAAAGTAATTCCTTTCATGAAGGCAACTGGAAAGACTAGACATAGAATTCAGTTCAAATAAAGGAAAATAAACATTGTTTTATTGTTTCATGCAAAAACAGATTTCATGGCAACACAGTCTTCTATAGAATGGAATCATATACATATTTGGAATTGAAAATGTGACCAATATCTATACTCTCCATCTGCTGACCTCCACTATGTTAGGGAACGGTTACACACCAGGGGTAAAGTTGGAATAAGATATGCAACTTGAACTATGTCAATTGCGTAGCTCAAGTCGAAATAGCTTAACTTGGCTTTTGGCGCAATCTACACAGCAGGAAGTCGAAGTTCCTTCAAGTTTCCTTACTCCTCATGAAATGAGGGTTACCACGAGTTGGAGTAAGGAGTCCTCCAACTCAACATTATTTCGAAATAAAGATTTGTAGTGTAGACGCGCACTATGTTATTTCAGAATATCAGTTATTCCGAAATAATGCTGCTGTGTAGACAGACCCTAAATGAGCCATTTTTTTTTGCAGTGTACTCATTCTGAAACCCAGTCTGTCAATTACATTTCCAGTGTATAAGATGCAGTAGTCCATTCAATACAAAGTAACTCTTTATTGGTCTACAAACAACAAACCTAAACATTAGAATTATAAACTTAAACAAGTAAATTTGTAGTAACTTAGAGCATTCCAAAACCATAGCCTTTCAACTGATGTCATCTAAGTGGTTAATACAAAACAAAAGATGAAAATACATTTTGTTTGTCAACTTTTCACTTCCTCTTGAGGAAAGTGAGATAAATCAAAAAAACGTTTAAAAATGAACACATCACTGAACTTATACAACAGTTATTTTTAAAGAACAGACCAAAATCATACATTCTGTCCACCTCCCTAAAGCCCTCCCACCCCATCACAAAATGAGAGAAGAAAATATATTCTACTATTTCTATTAAAAAAAACAAAAACAAAATTGTTTCTATTCTATTCCTTTAGAACAATATGGCTGCAACATTGCATTGTAATGGCAATTCTGTTCAATACAGGAACAACTGAATGAAATTCTCTGGCCTTTGGTAATAGGAGGTCAGATGAGATGATATAATGGTTCCTTTCACTTTCAAATATATGATTTTTTTTTGGTTGAAACTTGGTCTAGATAGACCTATTTTTCCATGTTTATATTTTTAACAAGTTTTACCATTTTATGGTTATCAGGAGCCACACCAAACAGTGGTTTCTGCTGTCAGTAAAATTTAAAAGCTAGCCAGACAAAAACCCAGTCTCATCTTCAAAGTGAAATTCAGAGTAAATGACGTGGGTAGGTTTTCACTGAAGCTTACGGCTAAACTCTTGTTTGCTTATCTGAGCATGATCAGGACTAAGCATGGACCACTTTGGGAGTTCTGAAATGTTACTTTTTTAAAGAGCTGAGATATTGATACAAAACAAATATCTTAAAAAGCCAATGCGTATGAAGAAAAACCCACTTTGCATGGATTTTATTACATTTAAATATTTATGTACACAAATTGTAAGGACTCTATTTACTAAATAGATACATATTATAAATATACAGACAAAATCACTTATTTATGGGCCAAATCCTGCATTACTGCTTTCCTGCATTAGGCACACGTTAAGGAGAAAGATGGGAGCATAAAACCACGATCATGTTCCCAAAATTCTGGGCACTGAGCAGCCCATTGGCTTCTGTAATTTACAACGGCTTTCCATGTGGGAACTGCTGTAGATGGTTTCATCACTGAGAATTGCTGGAGGGCAGTATGCTGTGGACACATCCCTTGCACCTTCACACATGGGAGCTATGTGGAGAGGAAGTGTATCCTTGTAGTATCAGAACACCTTCCTTATATTGGGGGTATTTCCAGGGCAGGAGTGGTTGTTTCAGTAGTTTGCAGTCCCTTTGTGCCATCCTGTAAGAGTAAAGGGGCCACAGTGAATCCAAGAAGCTGGCTTGGTATCTATAGCACAACAATGACACATTTGCCTGTAGTAACATCGCATGTAGTAGTAGTAACATAGGCATGTGGTGTTAATTTGGCCTCCTCATACTCACTCTGCTTCACATCCTTCAACTCTATATATTTGTTGGGTTTTGCATCTAAAAATACTTACTTCAAAGCTAACAAACTAAAAAGATCATAAACTACAGAGCCCCATGTTGAAGTAACTACTCAAAGCAAGGAAAATTCAGAGGTAAGATTGAAAAACATAGGCCGACACGAGTCTTATTTTGCATTATGCTTCTTTCTACTAGTTATTTATCATATGGCAATGTAACCTAAGGGCTATCTCAGAGATGTAGTGAGGGTGTTATGCGCCCAGGGGCAAAAGCAAAATTTGAACCCCTCTCTGCCCCCCCCCCCCCCAGATCTGGCGCACGGCTGAGCCCAACCCTGGGAGGAGTGGGGGAGCTTGTAACGCATCTTCTCCTGCCCTCTCCAGTTTGGGGCAGTCACTATCACGCTGTTGAAAATGGAGGAGGGTGGGGCTTGGCACGTAGAGGTGGGGAAGAGGCTTCAGCAGGCAGTGGTGCATGGAAGAGGAGCAGGCAAGCTGAGGGATGATGGGGGAGCAGAGGGGCAATTACTCCCCCACACCTCCTTTGCTACGTCAGTGCATGCAAGAGATTAATTTGCCTGTTAAAATAACACTCAGAAAAACTTTTAAATAAAACTAACACACAACACAAGAATCACCCTCGCTTTCCTGAAGGCACTTGAAGCAATGAGTAGCCTAAGGCTGAGGTTCTACTGCAAGCGTGGCTTTCTGTCTGCCACAAGGACTTTTTCCTTCAGGCTGCCATGAGATTCTATCCTTAAATAAAGGAGAGAGGTCTCTCTGAGCTGCTCTTCCAATTTTCACACAAGTCATTCAACTGAAGCCATAGATATCAAGATTCAAGGCCAGTCTTGCCTTTGGCAGACTGCCTCGCCAGGTATTCACAATCAGAACGTCTAAACACGTATACGACTTTTAGTTGAGAAAGCCATGTATATCCCTGTCTCTGCTAGGACTGGGAGATGTCGGTGACCTATAGAAAACACCAGCATTTTCTTTGGAAAATCCGCAACAAAATGTGGGGGGATCTAACACCTCAGTAATGCCAACTCCTTTAGAATTGAGGCCGTGATTATCCAGCACCAGGGGTACGTCTAGACTACATGGCTCCGTCGACGGAGCCATGTAGATTTGTTGTTTTGCAAAGGCAAATGAAGCCGCGATTTAAATGATCGCGGCTTCATTTGCCTTTGCAAAACAACAAATCTACATGGCTCCGTCGACGGAGCCATGTAGATTTGTTGTTTTGCAAAGGCAAATGAAGCCGCGATTTAAATGATCGCGGCTTCATTTGCCTTTGCAAAACAACAAATCTACATGGCTCCGTCGACGGAGCCATGTAGATTTGTTGTTTTGCAAAGGCAAATGAAGCCGCGATTTAAATGATCGCGGCTTCATTTGCCTTTGCAAAACAACAAATCTACATGGCTCCGTCGACGGAGCCATGTAGATTTGTTGTTTTGCAAAGGCAAATGAAGCCGCGATTTAAATGATCGCGGCTTCATTTGCCTTTGCAAAACAACAAATCTACATGGCTCCGTCGACGGAGCCATGTAGATTTGTTGTTTTGCAAAGGCAAATGAAGCCGCGATTTAAATGATCGCGGCTTCATTTGCCTTTGCCTATGTGTCTAATCTACACGCCTCTGCCGACAGAGGCATGTAGTCTAGACACAGCCCAGCTGAGGTAGAGCAGGCACTGTGTGCACATGTCTGATATATTTTTACCAAACCTGCTACCTGCCCAACTCGTAAAAGGAGAAAGGAAACAGGGAGGCCAAAAGGAATGGTTTAGAGCAGTGTTTCTCAACCTTTTTTGAAAATAAAGTATCCCTTAAAAAAAAAAAGTACTGCTTTTTTAAAAAAATAAGTACCCCCAGCACCTACAGTTTTCAGACACACCATTTTTTTTCTACCATTGCAATATATTTGTTTAAATTTCATTGTATCCCCGTCACTCCTTACAAGGTACATTGCCCATGGAGGTCAATGGGGCTTGGCTATTTTGTATGTAAAGGTACTAAAAAATGTATATGTCAATACCATGATGGCAATGCCTCTATTGTGTAATAATACCAAATACTGATTGCCAAATGAGACCACTTCCCAACCTGCTTACAAAGGGCCTGATACAATTTAAATTTTAAGCTAGGATTGAGCCCAAAACAATCTGTTGATATGACACAAAAAGACCCAGATAACATTTAGTCATCCTTCAAACATATAAGGGACCAATCAGTAAAAGCTCCACTGCCTGGTAGAGGTGATTTTTGAAGAAAATTGGAGAAATTTTGAATTTACTTTTTCTGACAGCAGCGCTTTCTTTCACTGAATGTGGGGTCGTCAGCACAGTTTTCACTTTGTGTCAGAATAACTTAGAAATGCATCGTCACAGCTAACTCCATTAAGGTCAAAGCAACGTGGCACCCCAAAGATAGAAGAACAAATCCCTCAAAACTGGAAGTTAAAACATCTCACCTCTTCACAGAGCTCACAAAGGGTCTTGTTCACCCAGAGACACGAGTCATGACAACTCGCTCTGGAGAGAGACCATACATCCTGCCTCTCTGTGGATGCACCAAGTGTTTTCACGTGGCATCTTACCATGCTGTTTAAATCGATTGCTTGGATGAGGAAGACTCATAAAGAGTCTGTCCATCATCCACACTAGAGCAACATGGTAATTTCACTGCCGTGGCAACAGACCTGATCTCTCTATGGGCTCTTGTGGAGGAGCAGGGAACCTGCAGCAATCTCTCGGGGAGAGAGGCCAGGGGTGCCTCTACAGCAGTGGTTCTCAAACTTTTTGGCTCGTGGACCACGTGTCTCAATGTAAACCTTTCCGTGAACCACCAATTGCTAATGGAAACCCACCTTTAATTACACAATTATGCCCAAGCCATTTTGCTAGTCCTGCAACTAGGGAGAATGATTTAATTTCAATTATTAATCAGATTAAACATTTTAACGTTCTCATGTTAATTTATCAAATTTCATTTTAAATAAAGTAAAATATTAATTTATGTCCAATACAAAAGATTTTAATGTTTTCTTTACTTATGGCAGGGGTAGGCAACCTTTTTTGGGTCAGGGGCCACTGACCCACAGAAAAATCAGATAGGGACCGCACAAGTAAGAAACAAAAAAACTCCTAAAACCCCAACCCTCACTCAGGTGGTCCACAACGGAGACATCTCACTCCTCTGGAATTCCAGTCCCAAGGGCAAGGGGAAGGGACAGGGAGGACTGAGGTTCAGGACTTCCAATAGGCTAGATTTGCTTTTCTGAAGAATTTTATGGACCCCCCTAGGTTCTAAAGTGGGGACAAAAATAAGGGGTTCAGGATGTGTGAAAGGGCTGCCAATGAATGGGATAGGGATTGGGTGCAGGATCTGGGAGGGAGGTGGGGGGCAAAAGGGGAGAGGTTGCGAGGTCTGGGTGGGATATAGGGTGCAGGAGCAGGCTGGGTATAGGGTGTCTGGCCAGGCTCAGGGAGCAGGAGCAGATTGGGGGTAGGGTGTCTGGCTAAGAGGGAGGGTGCAAGGAGGGGACTTGGGTAGGAGTTGGACCTCTCTGGTCTGGCACCCTCTGGATCTGACTGGTCTCAGATGAGGGATTTTTTGGACTAACAAAGGTAATTTCAGGGCTGCTGGTGCCCCCCTCCCCACTAGGCTTCTTTGCACATCCATCCCCTGCCACCTAGCTGCCTACTTACAAACGGGGTGAGGCAACCCCGCACTAGCTGCTTCCTCCCAGCAGACCAGGGAGACGTGAAGCTAGCGCCCCCCCCCCCCCCCCCACACACACAATAGGCTTCTTTGCACCTCCATCCCCTGCAACTCAACTGAGCTGCCCACCCCTGCTGGTTCCCTGCACCTCCCCCAAAACCATCCCCCACAATCCAATGGAGTGCAGCACCAATTCCCTGCACCCCCTCGCAGCACAGCTGAGCCCTGTATCCCTGCACCTCCCCCCAAGCCCTGCAAATCTGCTGAGCCCAGTGCTGATTTCCTGTCCCTCTGTTGAGTCCAGCCCTGGGCTCCTGGCACCTCCCCTCTCCCACAGCCCAGCTGAGCTCCGCACTCTGCACTTCCCCCCCCAGCCCAGGTGAGCTCCCTGCCTGGCCCCTACCCCCCGGATGGGAAAGGAAACAGCAGCATGCAGCTGCTTCAGGCTGCAGCAGCTGTTTCTGGGACATTTTCAGTGTTTATGGGGGCACCGGGAAATGAGATTAAAGTTTGCAAATATCCTGGATTTTATGGGGCATATAGTCAGCATAGGCTGTGCACTTCACTCCCTCTGCAGGCTGGTGCCCCCCTAGCATGGCGCCTGGGGTCAACTGCCTCTCCCTAGCCCCCCTTTTCTATGCCTCTGGGCTATCTATCCTCCCAGATTTTAAGCCTTTAACCAGGATTTTGTGGATTTAGGTCAGACTTGTTAGTGTTTTAGCATTTTTTTTGGTTAGTTTATGAAAAATTTAAATGGGATCAGGGCAGGACATGAATCACTGGGAAACAAGTGACCTATTTAAATACCTTGTGACTAAAAATACAGAGTGGATTTGATGTCTAAATGCATTAAAGCAAATTGGTCTTCCTAATGCTAGCTTCAGAAAAAGACCTTGATAATGCAAGGTGAGATATTTGGAGCCAGAGAAGAAGAGTGCGTTACTTGTCATTTGGTCATGATATGTAAATGGACTAGTATGCCCATAAGCTTCAGAGGGGTAGCCGACTTAGTCTGTAACTGGAAAAACTTAAAAAACAATGAATAGTCTAGCAGCACCATGTTAGCCGCTATCACAGCTGTGTATAAATCATGCTAAATGATGAGGAATGTTTGTGAACTTTGTT